CCAATAAAATAGCAGTTTTCGACAAAGGAGTGATCGTTGAACTGGGTAACACCCGAATTTCCCAAAAATTAACACCTATAAGTGAAAAGACCATAAACAGGAACCCATCAAGAGCTGATAGAGCTAGATCAACGATACGCTGAGCTGGTGAGAGCGCAACAGTTTCAGCCTGAGGCAGATGAGAACTTGCCAGACGAAGATAAAGTGGATAGCGAGTGGGTCCTAAATCAGAATGTTTTAAAGATCATATCTATATAAGTATTCTTGGCAAGGGAAGAGTATATTTAGCGAAGTATATGGTGGTGAAGTCACACGTAAAAGCTCGGAAAACATTGCACTTGGTGAAGCAGCCTTTGTTAGAGGAGTTGTTTCGCAGGATTCTTTCAGGTAAGTAACTGCGAACATTCGTAAAATAAAACTTGTGAAATCATTTTATTTTAGCAGAAGCAGTTACATAATGTCTAGTGGTGAACAGATCACGGTCACGGCAGAAAGTAATGCATATGAGGAGGAAATTAAAGCGGGGATGAAAAATGTAGGCGTAATCCCACCCAATTAACAAGCATTACTAACCAAAATTTTAAGGATGGGGAAATTAAAGCTGGCTTATTGACTATATTCGCAAATGCAAGAGGTCAATACATTTATATTCTTCTTTCCTGGGCAACTGCAATACTTCGAGGATTTGAAATGCCATGCGGTGCTTTTATCTATGCTATGGTAAAATATCACAGATTTTTGCAACAAATCTTTTTAATAATGATTGATTGAGGTATTCCGAGCCATTAGTTTTTACGACACTGACAAAGAAATGATGATACACGAACTGGTTATTTGTCTTATCGTTTATGTCGCCGTCTCCATTGCTGTATTTCTTCTACACTTTGTCTCGGTAAAAATGGATTTACATTGTAGCTTAGATCTTCATGCTTTTTATATTTTAGTCTATTCTCTTTGGCAAAGTCTCTGAAGAGCTAACACTTCGCTACAGAGTTAAAGCTTTCCGAAACATCCTGCATCAGGTTTCATTTAAACATAATTAGAAAATCAAGTCTTAGAATAAAACTTTCAACAGGACATAATTTTCTAACACTTAGTCAAGGATTTTGCAGGATGCTGCTTATTTCGACAATCCCCAACACGCACCAGGTCGTCTAATTACTAGGCTCGCCTCCGATGCTCCTAATGTGAAGGCGGTATGATGAGAAAACCTTATTCTCGTATTTTCAAGCGGGCATACAAACTTAGAATTACATTCTCTCCAGGTTGTGGACAGTCGAATGATGTATGTAGTTTTCAACATGACAGCATGGTTGGTTTGCCTTATACTTGCACTGACCTCATGTTGGCAAGTTGGACTTACTGGAACTGTAATGAGGTAAGGCAAAGTCGACTACAAGGTCACTTAAGCAAATTTATAGGAAGAGATTGTTATCATATTTTGAAAAATAGGTGGGGAATAGTCACAGCAATTCAATACAGAGATATATTATCGCTCTTCCTAAAGTGTTTCAGGCTTTCCAAATTTTCAGACAATGAGAGAAGCAACCTCAAGCCTTGTGTGATGTTACCTTCTATCACATTTTTTTCAGTGTGCTTCTAGGAATAGTTATGGTCTGCCTTGCTAGAACAATTCAGAAGCTAAACCTACAATTTATGAAAGTTAACCAAGCTGGAAAGGTGTGTCTCAATTATAATACTTTTGTTTGGATGAAATAGAAATTTTAAAATATAAAGTAGCAATTCCAATCTTTAAAATAAGAGGTGCGTAGTTTTTGAGTAATGGTCTGAATTGTTCGAGTCCAAATATTAAATCATTCAAGTAAAATCGACTACATAAAAAAGAAATTTTCGTAACACAGCTTTATCTAAAGAACTAAACCAGTACGACTAATTATGAAATAAATATTATTACATGAGAATACTGCTGAGAACAAAATGGAGTTAATTATCATTCCAGCTATCCATTGAAGTCATCGAGAATGTTCGCACCATACAATTGCTTACGCGAGAACGTTACTTCTACGAGAAATATGAGGAAGCATCAAAACAACAAAAGCGAAATGAAATGAAAAAAGGCTACTATGAAGGTATTTAATAAATTTATTTGATTCAGTATTGATTTATAATCAATTACAGCTGCAAATTTCTCTCTAACCCAAACGTTTGTCTACTTCTCGCTGGCAGCAGGTTATGCTGTTGGTATCCCCTTGATGACAAGATGGGATTATGATGTACAGGCAGTCTATAGGTATTGCTTTCTTCTCTACTTCTAAGTAAAGTTGAAATTAAGCTAAGATACTTGTAGATCTGTATTTTCTGTTCTTCTTTCCTGCCTGGCTATGATGAACTGTTCAACATTCTTCCCTGAGTTTACGAAAGCTCGCACTGCGGCCGGCATGTTATTCAACATGATCAATAGAAAATCTAAGACTGGTGATATAAACGAGGGAGATAAGCCGGTAAATCTTTTGTTACAGGGCCAGGAATTTGGTGCTACATTTTAAGAGGTCCTCTTGAGTTTCCAACTAGCTTTGTGAAATTTTCAATTACAGAATCTTAGAGGAAATTTGCTCTTCGAAGGGGTCCACTTCTCCTACCCTCAAAGGCCTCACCAACCCATAATGCGAGGACTTCAATTTACGGTTCAAAAAGGCCAAACTGTAGCCATTGTTGGACCGTCTGGATCAGGAAAGAGTACTGTAATCTCGCTTTTAGAACGGTTCTATGACACTACTGCTGGAATTGTTGTAAGTTTAACCATAATGGGTAGAATATGGGGTTCAGTAAAAAAATGGTCGCAAAATTTTTGTTTTTAGCGTTTCGATGGGCAAGATATTCGCAAGATCTCCTTGCGGCATTTGAGATCGCAAGTTGCACTTGTGGGTCAGGAGCCACGACTGTTTGCTGGCACCATAAAGTAGGTGGACTGCAAATAGCAAAATTAGCTGGAAGGCGCAAATGTGAAGAATGGATTAATTTCGAAATTCTCTTATGAAGGAAACAAGCCCAGAAACGTGAAGAAAACTGTGCAGAAAATGAACGTCTTTTCTTTTGCAGGGAAAACATTTGTCTCGGTTTAAAGCAGGTTGATGATGCCCAGATCAGGGAAGCTCTTGAGATCGCTAATGCTTCCAAATTTCTCAACAACCTTCCGCAGGTACACAACCATATGATTCAGATAAAAATAATTAGAACTTCTCTACCCATTTACAGGGACTGGACACAGAAGTTGGAGAAAAGGGCACTCAGCTGTCTGGAGGGCAGAAACAAAGGATAGCCATTGCCAGGTGATCGCATTCATTTTTCGAGATAGTATCGCTATTTCATAGCTGATTTTTAGAGCTTTGGTTCGAAATCCTGTTATTTTGCTGCTGGATGAGGCGACAAGTGCTTTGGATTCGGAGAGTGAAAAGGTGGGAAAAATTTGTTAAACACATGAAAATAAGAGATCAAAATCACAGATATTTCATAATTTGCGTGACTTTGGAACTATACTCCTATCAAATGAGAAGATACAAGACTTATTTGATGGGAATCAAGACCATTCAGGCAGTCCAAGAAGCGCTGGATAAGGCAAGAGCGGGCAGGACTTGCATAACAATTGCTCATCGCTTATCCAGTATTCAAAATGCAGATGTTATTTTGTATGTAGAAAACGGGAAAGTCAGGTGCGTGCTTACATATATCTCTATTGATTTTCCAAATAAATCTTGCTGTTTCAGAGAATCTGGCAGCCATTCAGAATTAATCAACAGAAAAGGACGATACTACCAACTTATCAAGAAGCAGGACATCGCCTCATAAAATTACCTAGATCATTCTACCAGATGTTCTATTTGATATTTAGATAAGGTTCTGATATAGTTGATAGCTATCGATAAAATTACAAAGCAAGTTTTTGCATAAATCCCAATCACTTTGGGAGATCCCTAAATTCTATAGAATTTGCTTTTTTTATCCATTAAGTAGAGCGGGTAATTGTGCACATTGTAAAGTAACAGACAATATACATACTACACTTGATTGTCATGCTTTAAACATGCTACACTTAATTGTCATGCTTTAATAAATTTTATAAGCTTTGAGAATGAAGTACTACTGTTTAGAAAAAAAACTGTTACAAGGTTGTCGGCAAGGACACATATGAGGTAATTCGGAACAGAATAAGTATTAATTAATACATCTGACAGGAATGTGTATCTCTACTGAAGAGATCTTGAGGTTAAACAGAAAGAATATTTGCACGAAATCAAATGGCAGAAGAAATTTAAGAAAGCTGTGAACATGTAGTTTCCAACTGAACAGGAAGAAAACACTTTCTAAATATTCCTAATTCTTCAAAGCATGAAAGCGTTCTCTAATCACAAAGGCAAAAGTTATCGTAGGTAAATTCGAGCATAAAATGTTTGAGCTCGTCTGTCAACGTGAAATGTTTTTTCTCTCCTCACAACCTCTTTGAGAAGATTAAAGTAAATGTGTGCTGGAGAGAAATTACGTGATTTTTTCTTTGCTTACATAAAACCTCTTAAATATGCAACTCTACAGCCATGCAAGGGAAAAAATTCTGCATAGAAACGCTTATTTGGGTGGAATGTTCTTCCCGGCACTTGGTTAGTCCGTTTAAGTTTTAAGCTGATAGGATATAACAAGATAAAAGTGTACAAAAAAAGAATACATCAAAGATATGATGAGCAAACAATCTTTCTTCACTCAAAATATACCGAGTAATCATTTTTTAAGAAACAGAATCTTGTTGCTGTGCAGAGCTACAAGGGTGTGGAAGAATTAGTAAAAATCTAGACAGTTCCTACAAGGAAAATGAAAGAAACCACAAAACCTGAAAGCAATTAGTACGTTAGAGCGCCAGGAACCGAATCGAGAATGAGGAGTAAGCGACTCTAGCAATCGATCAACCAATGTTATGACCTCTCCAATAACCTGGATAGCAGGATTCCTAGTCATTTAGTCATTTATCTCCTGATTAAAAGGAGTTTAAGCATTTGGAGAAAACATGCTCAAAACAAAAAAAAAATTAAAATCAACGATAATAGCATAAGATTATGAGTAGGTCAAACCCGAATATATTCTTTTGTTCCGCGAATATCTGGATCCGCCTATCTTCTGGAACGTTCCCACTTGCTATAAATGTGCAAAGCAACAAGTCATAAACGTTTTTTTTTATCCATCCGCTCTTGCCCCTTAAGTGATACGTTGATATGTTGAATTTTGGAACTTTTGATTCTGAAATAAAATGAACGTAAGACTTCCAGGGTAGCTTTATCGTGATTTTCTCATCATGGCTCTTTGGCCCACTCGTATGTATCCTCCTTCGCGCTACATGGATGATTGCTTCCATGACATAAATCGCTTGGAAAGAAGAATGATGCACGACTTTGATCGCTTTGAGAGAGGTATCATGCCATATTGGAGAGATGCGGACCATTCGATTCTTCACGTGGCCAACCAAACGCAGGAGGTATTTTTCATCCTTTCCTGCAAGGATACTTCGTGGATTTTGTGTGTTTTGGGAACTGAAAAAAAAAGTTTTGAGGTAGTAAACGACGACAAGAAATTCGCTGTTGCTCTGGATGTGTCGCAGTTCAGGCCTGAGGAACTGAAAGTACACATTGATGGACGTGATCTAACAATAGAAGGCCAACAAGAGCAGAGGACAGAGCATGGCTATATACAGAGGTCAGGCTATCTATTAGACTGCTTCGGTATATGCTACACTAAGCCCTTTTAGATCATTTGTTCGTAAATGGACACTTCCTGAAGAAGTTGACCTTGATGCCGTGCATACACAACTGGATGATGTCGGTCATCTCTCTATCGAGGCACCAAAGACTGGAGAGCATACGAATAGAAGAAATCTGCCAATCATGGCTGCTCCCAAAAGAAAGTAATTGAATCTCTAATAAGTTTTAATAAAAGAATTACAAATGTTTCCTGTGAAAGGCACGCCAATAAGT